CACGATCAAAGATTTTATTAATGTTTATTCATTCATTCATGATCAAATAACCATCAAGAGTCTTGTCGGTATTTATCGTTCAACCGGATAATGACTGGAGTCCTAGTGATTATCAAAGAGTAATTGCTTATGATTCTCTATCGACGTCTAGTCAGTGTTTTGTTTATCTGGATAGTAACTGGTAATCTAGTGATTAATGAATGAGTAATTGCTTATGATTTCCGCCGACGAATTTAGTGTCACTTGAAGCATCAGCCTTATCGCGGTGTGACCGAATAACCAACAAATGATGCCAATTTTTTATATACCGTTAGTGAAAATAATTTATGATAGTTTCAAAATATTTCGATCGGGCAAATTGTTTCACAATAGCAAAATATTTCGGACTTAAAAAAGTGCTACCAGTATATGCTTTGTAGAATGAACCAAAATTATTTCGTTTCTTCAAAATTATTTCTTATTGATGAATATTTCAGATTTTGAAAAATAGCTGAAACACTAATCGTTTATTTAACCATGTTACTTTGCAGCTTGTTTTTGTTATACTATCTTTAATATTGGCAAGTCTAATCAGCTATTCATATAGTCGTGAAATAGCATTATCTAAGAGTTATTTCGAAAATTGTATCAAAAATAACGCACGCGCTATACAAAGATTTTTCTTAAAATTTTGTTTTCTTTCTACCATCTTTTATGTCATTCATTTTCTTTTTTGGAAAATTTCGAAAACTTTTTATTATTAACCAATCAAATTTAGTATAGATTATAATGTATCTCGTGGATTTCACTCTTAGATATTTGTATTAATTTATATACGCACAAATTTATACGGGTCTCTGGACCCAGGGTCTATCTAACCAAAAAAAAAACTTTATAATATACCCAGTATATTATACGGCAGAGGGCCTCTATCGCAAATTAAAAAAATTTTTAAGTAGAAAGTGCTGCTCATAATCAATGAAATTTCTGCGATTTTCACCCGGATATTTTATAATAAAAAGGGAATCTTTCAATAAGTGCGATACGGTAGTTAAATTTGTGACTTAAATAAAGGTCGAAAACGTGTCATTTTTGATGTATCATAGCGAAAATATTAAAAACCATTTTGCCACATCGTCTACCATAAATCATTCGAAATAACACGAACTTTGTATAACATGTATTAGCGGTTTTGACATATATATATATGTTGTAAGTGGGAATGGAATTTAAGTGGATTTGGAATTTCCTAGTTAAATTAGAGTTAGGGTTAGGGTGTACATATGATAAAATCATCCCCAAAATGGCGGTTTTATATACAAATTCCGAATCCACTTAAATTCCGTTTCCACTTACAACATATACAAGCACCTGTGAACATCTTTATCTAGTTGAAGACCAGAGAATGCCTTATTAACTGTTTCCTTTATGGTTGTCCCTTTTTGTCATTATTGATATCTTGTGGTGGTTGATATTGTTCACGTTCGTCAACCACAACTAGAGAGGGTTTCAAAGTCCTATTAATTCCTGGTGTTTCTTCTACACCCATGCTAATATCTTTGATTTCTGGTGGCTGTTTGTTTTTTGGTTTCGACATGGCATTTGATTGACTCAACGTTAAGAGATATGAAAAATGGCAATTTAAACGCAGAAAAAAAATGTAAATACTGTATGTAGAAATTAAAACGTCATATCTAAAGGATGAGATCATAAATTTTGTCATCCATCAATTTTAAAGTAATGTCTGAGAAATTCTTACGTACATTTATTATCAGGCCACAAAATTCTAGCCTTTCAACGCATGTAATCAAAACAATCTTGAATGGTATAAAAATAAAATGCATCCTCTTTAAAGAATACATCTTAATTCATTGTAATAATATTTTTTTAACTATTTAGAATTTAGATGATCTTGTTTGTAGCATTTTTCGTTTTTATATAATTTATTTAAATTTTTTCATAATTGACTAAAGTTAAGAAGGGCAAAATAAAAGCCTTCACGCCATACTCTACTGAACTTTTGAGATGTCTGGTTCCTGATTCATCAGAACCTGATTTAGATTCAATTTTTTAAGTCAGGTGGATACTGAGATCTCAGTTTAAAAAAAAAAAAAAAGTATATATATATAGCCAAGTTTTAATTGAAATCTTTATTTAAAATGTAATAATTGACTTTGAAGTAGTAAATTTTATTACGTCTGGCAAAAAATTGACCGACCGACCGAATATTTACCGATTCGATAAGTTCTGATTCGAATCAGCAAATATTCGGTTGGTCAATTTTTGGCCAGACGTTCCAGAATTTATGAAAACAGCTGTAAACCAAACTTAAATTTAATCACAAGTTCGGTCCGGGTTTGGTCCGATGTTTGCAAACTAGTTTGAGTCCGAATGTACATAGATGTTGAACAAGTTTACTTAGAGAATGAAGTTAGAATAAATTAGTAATATTTTGAGAATCATAATATTTCATATAATTTTATTAATAAAAATATTAAAAAATGCTATTATTCTTAATTGATTCTAATTTATATTCTAAGCAATCTTGTTTATATATTATTATAACAATATATTTATTTTTAATTTTTTTTGAAATTTTAAAAGATGCTTAATTTTAGTTTTTTGATAAAAAAAATCTAATATAAACATTTTCTCTTAAAATTTCAAGAAATATAAAATTAAATATGTATTTTTATGTGTTAATCAAATTTATTTATAGTATGAAGTTAGAATCAATTAGTAAAGAGAATTATAGAATTCTTAATTACTAAAACAGTTATGATTTTCAATTTTTTTCTAATTTTATGCTCTAAACTAACTGGTTTAGTGTATAAAAATATGTTATATCAATATATTTAATGTTATATTAAAATTTTAAGATGCTTAATTTTAGATTTTTGATAAAAAAATCCAAAATTATCTTTTCTGATAGTTTTTTCTAAACTTTGAGCGAAGATATCTCAACAACCACCTATATATCAAAAATTATTAAAAAATTTTTTATTCTGATTCTATATGTATGTATCATTAAAATTCAATTTTAAATTAGTTATCGAGATGTTTTCACTCAAAGTTTAGAAAAAACTTGAATAATTGTCAAAACAGAAGCTGTGGCAAAGTTTTTTCCGAACTTTGAGCGAAGATATCTCGACAACCACCTATCTAAAAAATTGATGAAATTTTTTTATTCTGATTATATATGCTTATATCATTAAAATAAAAAAAAACTTTTATCAATTTTAAATAGAGATATTTTCTCTCAAAGTTTAGATAATTATCAAAACAAAGCTGCGGCAAAGTTTTTCTAAACTTTGAGAGACGATATAATTAAAATAAAAAAATTTTCATCAATTTTAGATAGATGGTTGTCAAGATATCTTCGCTCAAGTTAAAACAGAAGTTGCGACAAAGTTTTTTCCGAACTTTGAGCAAATCAATAAATTTGGTTTATTCTGATTCTATATAATATGATTAAAATAAAAAAATTATCGATTTTAACAAGATTTCTTCATTAAAAGTTTGAAAAAAAATAATTTTCATCCAATTAGGATGCGACTGTTCAAGTAGAATCTCATTTTAATAACAAAATTTGCCGCTATGGCTAGGATACTACGTAATGGCTAGGGTATGCAGATCCCTAATTTTAATATAAATGCCGTGAGAACACGCGTTTCGAACTTTCTCGCGTTTAGCACACTTTCATTATACTTAACTTTAATGATGTCTCATGAAAAAGAATGTATCGAAGATGATTATACTGACGAAGAACAAGAACAGGAGCAGGGAATGATTTATACGCCAATTTCAACGCTTGAGGTCCGTTATCGCCTATTTCCTTGTAAGATACGCGTTTTTACTTCTAGCATTCTGACATGTTATTTTTACAACTTTAAGGAACTTGGCATTAATGCTTCTGATATCAAGAAACTTTCTGATAATGGGTACACTACCGTTCAGTCTGTAGCATTTTCTCCCAGAAAGGCTTTATTGACTATTAAAGGAATTTCTGAGGCAAAAGTTGATAAAATTCAAGCTGAAGCTTTCAAATTGGCCCCTAAAATGGGTTTCGAAACTGCTACCGAAGTAAAGGAAAGAAGAGCTGAGTACGTTTATATAACCACTGGTTCTATTGAATTGAATAAACTACTTGGAGGTAATAAATTTTTTCTATTATTGTTTAATATCAGCTAAGCAATTTCTTATTCTCTTTTTTTCTATTAGGTGGTATTGAATCCGGTTCCATTACTGAAGTATTTGGTGAATTTAGAACTGGAAAAAGTCAACTTTGTCATACTCTTGCAGTTACATGTCAGGTAATATTATTAATACATACTTTTGTTTTTCCTATAACATCTAAATTATTACTATATTTAAAGCTTCCAGTTGAAAACGGTGGCTCTGAAGGAAAATGCATTTATATCGATACCGAAGGTACTTTCCGTCCTGAAAGATTGGCCGCTATTGCTGAACGTTACGGAATAGATCCGAACCAAATTTTAGATAATGTTGCCGTCGCGAGGGCTTATAACACTGATCACCAAATGAATTTATTGATACAAGCCGCTGCAATGATGGCCACGTCAAGGTTCGAAACTCTTTTTCTTTTATTAGCTTTATTACTTACTGTTTAATTTCAATCCTTCTTTTTATTAGTTTAGCATGTCCTAATTGCACTTATATTTATCTTTTTAGATTTGGTCTCTTAATTGTCGATAGTGTCACGTCCTTATACAGGACTGATTACTCTGGTCGAGGTGAACTTGCCGCACGTCAGATGCATTTGGCAAAATTCCTGCGCGGTTTACTTCGTTTAGCTGATGAAGTATGTACCTTTATATCCGTTATTAATTTTAACATATATATATATATTTCTATACATTTACGTGATATCTTAGTTTGGCATCGCAGTAGTTATTACAAATCAAGTTGTAGCGTCTGTCGATGGAAACATGCTATTCCCCGGTGCTTCTGATAAAAAACCCATCGGTGGGAACATTATTGCACATGCATCAACAACAAGGTGGTCATGAAATTTTGATTTTGAAATAAGTCTATCGTAATTTAATGAATATTAACAAAAATTTCAGATTATATTTACGTAAAGGTAAAGGTGATAATCGAATTTGCAAAATTTATGACTCTCCATGTCTTCCAGAAGGTGAGGCCACTTTTTCGATCGGACATGGAGGAATTGAAGATGCAAAGGATTGAAATGTTAAAAATATGTTTTAAAAAGTACGTATTATTTATAAATTTTTATATTGTAATTAAAATATGTCGTATGCATTTAGTAATTCTTGCATGTATTTGTTAATACACATATATGGCCTAGGTTTTTATGGAATTTATACTATAATTACGTGATAAATGCGTCCTCAAGAATAATGTAATCAATCTGATGAAAACTAATTCAATTTGAGCACTTTTTTTACATATGTATTATTAATTAGTTCCAAAATATTTTGCAAATGTGATTTCTATATACATTTATTATTTTTTACACCTTAGAATATTTAAAATTAATTAATAATTAAAAAACACGCTTAATAAAATTTAGCTATCAATTTTAAATTTTTTATAATATTATAATTATTTAACAATTAAATAATTATTTAGAAGATAAATTAAATATTGAATAATGATTATTTTTAAGGGAATTATAGCGATGCATCGCTACCCTGATCGACCAATCAGGATGCAGGATCAGGTGTAACGTGAAATCGAAGCGCTCGCTTCTAACTTAAAATTTTGCCTATAAACCCGAAATTTTGGGATAGGAAAGGTCTTCAGCTATTATTCTAACCAAACCCCGCTATTGGTTAATCAGGGGGTAGCGATGCATCGCACTGGCTAATTTTCCATTTTTAAATAGTTGTAAAGATTTAATAACTAAATTATAAAATTAAATTTAATTTATTATTTATTATTGAATTATATCCAATGTTAATTATTGTGGCAGATTAAAATGAAATGAGAGATAGTGTAAAATAGACAAGCCACCAAAAAATACAAATTTTTGGGGCATTTTTTTAGCATTTTTAGGGTTAGGACCAGGGTTTAAAAGCAGGTTTTATAATAAACAAGTACAGTCAAACCCCTCTATAGTCACACCTTCGGGATACAAAAAACCGTGATTATATAGGGGTGTGACTAATATAGAG